GAGCAGCAGTAGCTACCTCTTTCCACTTTCTCAACAAGTCTGCCATAGAAAAATCAGAGAATATCTCCATTGATTTCAGCCAGTGAACTACCCTTGAATGTATCAAGTCTATTAGGTTTCCTGTGGTTCTTTCCTTATCTGAAAAAATTCGTGAATTTCTTTCTTCCCATATTGACCAGCTTCTCCACATAACCTTCCCCCTTTTCTTAGTCCATCTAAAGAATGAGGGAGAGAACAAGCATTGCACACTCACGGGGGGATTCCAAGTATATACCCAAAAAGGGAAAACACCCATTCCCAAAACAGTCTTAGTAACTGGACAAGTAACCATAATGTGGTAACCCATTTCCTTATCATCTATGCAAAGAATACACCTATTGGGAGATAAACAGCGGTTGGGCCTCTTTCTTTAAAGCAAGTCGTTTGTATAAACTCTTTCCAGGAAAATTTCCCAACAAAAACTACCAACCCGAGGAGGAATGGGTTTGCTCCAAATCTCTTTAATGACAGCCCAAGCAGAGTTGTAGGTTGAACTAATGTCTCAAAAAACGAGGCACAAGAGAAAGAGCCGAAGGAGGAAGGGGTCTAGATTATGGTGTCTTCCTTACTGGGGTTCAAGAAAACATTTTCAAGGACAGTTAGCAAAGATGAGATACACCGCAAATCTGTACCCCTTACCGCCCTTCTCAACCCTAGATTCCACCCAAACCCAGAAGAAGAATCAGAAGGAACTAAGAAAGAGGAAATGGGTTCATTTTTCAAACCTGACAAAGCAAACAATGAGGGAAATTGGTCTCTCAGGGGTAGGTCTCCAACCCAAATTTGCTCCCAGAATTTTATTCGATTACAGGAGTTTAGATCGTACCTGATCCAAGGGGAGAAAACTAGAAGCAGATCATGAATGGATTTCCATGGGGATGCGGCAGTAGCCCTTGCCAAAATTCCTAGATCCCAGTCATTCTCATCCAACCCATGTATGCTAGCCACAATCTTCGTCCACAATTTGTCCCTTTCCAACGGGAATCTCCACAACCATTTCCCCAATAATGCCATGTTCCTTTTCCTGATATTCCCAATCCCAAGCCCCCCTAGCTTCTTGCTCCTATTTACCACTTCCCAACTCACCCTATGGTCTTTCTTCTCCACTCCTGGTTCCCATAAAAAAACCCTCATTAATTTTTCCACCCTGTTGGAGACCTTTGTAGGAATCTTAAACACTGACATGAAGTAAACAAAAAGATTAGAAAGGGTAGACTTTGTTGAAATAGTTTATTTTATTTCTTGTCTTTTAGTCTTGTCTTGGTAGGGTCTGTTTGGTTGATTAATGTCTTTTTTATTTTTCTGATTATTGTACTTCACTTATAGAGGGGCACAAGGGTCTTTTCCCCTTTTATTTGAGTCGCCCTATATATACTAATAGAAGCTGGCGCCGCCAACACTATTCCATTGCCAATCTCTTCTCTTCTCTTCTCTTCTCTTTCTCTTATTTCTGACCGTGCACACTGTTAAGAGACTTAAACAAGGTGGTTCTCCCCCTAAGAGAAAGATAATTTTTCCTCCAAGAAGCTTCTTCTCAAATCTCTCTACTACCAGGTTCCAAAAGCTTTCATTCCTGGGGTTATCTCCTAGGGGGAGGCCCAAATAAATGATAGGCCAATCCGAGATAGCACACCCTAATACACCTGCACAATCACTTACTTCCCTTTCCTCCAAATTCACTCCCACCACACAACTCTTATCGAAGTTCACTTTAAGATTAGACATCTACTCAAAGAGTTGTATTGTTAGTTTTAAGTTTCTAATCCAATTTAGATCCCCACCCTCACAAAACAGGATTGTGTCATCTACAAACTACAAGTAAGTGGTACTTCCCATCTTCCGACTCTCCATCCTCTTATTAAGTCTCTAGAATCAGCTCTATGTATCAGCCTCCCCAAGGCATCTGCAATCAGAGTAAAGAGAAAGGGGGAGAGCGGATCACCTTGTCTTATTCCTCTCATGGCCAGAAAGAAATCCACCGCAGTTCCATTCACCAATATCGAATAATGGCAACTCCTAATACAACCCCAGATCCATCTACATCATGTGTCTCCAAAGCCAAAACTTCTCATTGCCTCCATCAAGAAGGACCAGTCAACTAGGTCATAAGCCTTCTCTAAGTCTAGTTTGCATACCACTCCCTTATTCTTGGATTTCCTAAAATTCTCTAAACTCTCATTCACAATCAGAATTTGATCAATGATTTGCCTCCCCTTCACAAAGTTCCTTGGTTGGGAGTGATAATGGCTGGAAGAACTTTTTTAATTCTTAGAGACAACGCTTTTGCAATTATCTTGTACAGACTATTCACCAAACTAATTGGTCTAAAATCCCTTGGTTGTGATGCCTCTTTCTTCTTAGGGACCAATGCAATGAATGTGGAGTTTAAACCCAGATTAATGACTCCCCTTCTGTGAAACTCCTCAAAAACCGACACTAGGTCCTTCTTCACAATATCCCAACAATCCTGATAAAATCCATCTGGGCCTGGAGCTTTCGTCCTATCCATTGAAAACATTGCTTCCTTTATCTTCTCTAAGTCAAAGTTCTCCTCTAACCCCACTCTGGTTTCTAGACTAAAAGTTGGCCACTCCAACCCCTCCACCCAAATCCTCTCACTTAGAGGCCTTCCAAATATTGATTTAAAATGGGTTGCAAAAGCCTTTGCTATTTCTGTTGGGTGGGAAAGAACAACTCCATCAACTTCTAGCTTAGAAATGATATTCTTCCTTCTTCTATTGTTTGCTACAGAGTAAAAAAATCTAGTGTTTCTATCTCCCTCCTTTAACCATTTACATCTAGACTTTTGTCTCAAACTTATTTCTTCCAGCAATAAAAGTTCCTCCAACTACTTTCTAACCCTCCATCTCATATCTCTGTCTTCTTCTCCAGAAGAACCCCTTTCCTCCTTCAAATCCAGTTCCTCAATATGCTCCATTAGAAGCTTCTTCCTTTCCTCCACTCTTCTAAATTCCAGACGGTTCCACTCCTTTATTTGAGATTTTAGGAATTGAATCTTCTTGTGGAATCTCATCCCCTTCCATTCAACTGAGGGATTGTGTTGATCTTCTCTATGAATCCCGGATGGATCAACCACATATTCTCGAACCTAAAGGGAACAGGTCCACCTCCTCTTAAGTCCTCCTTACACAACACTATAGGCCAATGGTCTGAAGTGAGTCTAGGGAGTGCCCTAGAATTTAGGTTCCCCCAATGCTCCTCCCAATCTGTTGAGAACAAGAACCTATCTAACTTAGAACAAATGGGGTTAGATTGACGGTTGGACCAAGTGTAGACATTGCTTTGGATCGAGAATTCCTTAAAATCAAAAGTCTCCACAAAATGATTGAAATTTCTCATGCTGGTCGTCACTCTCTGTCTGGGATTGTTGGTTTCCTCTGTGAATCTCACTACGTTAAAGTCCCCCAACACATACCAAGGTCCTTCCCATAATTTCTTCCTCTTCCTATAGTCATTGGGGCCATATACATTTGTTAGAACCCATTCAAAGCCATCTTCCACCTGCCTGAATTTCATAGAAATTGAATGATCCCCTATTAGTTCCTCCAGACCTATCACCACATCTTCCTTCCATAGAGTGATATCCTTTTTCCTTGCATTATATCCTCTGCCATATTTTTTCCTTTCTATTTCAGATCTAGTCATAGGGGACAGAGGGAATAGATAAAATGGAGTCTATTTTTAAAATACTCGGTAGTTTTCCTTTTTAATTAATAATTCTAAGAGGGAGAAAAGAATAGAGGTAGGAAGGGAAGTAGAGAGAAATGACGTAAGTGATCAAACCCTCCCCAAACTAGCATATACAAGAGCATGACCCCAACACCCAAAGAGCACCATGAGCTGTGGGTGGACCCCCGATATATATTGTCTATGAACATTCTTTCATGCAAGTGAATCAACAAGAATGTTTGCTGTATCTTTGGACCCTATTGAATGAAAAGATCAAGCTAATGTCCAATGACCTATCTTCTTGGTTGTGATTTTGCAGCTGCCAAGGGCCCAAAGCCCCATTTCTTCTCATCAAGCCAATGATTGTTTGTGGGTCTTATTCCAACTCCAACTTTGTGTATCTCGATTCTCATATAGCACCCAATCATCAAAGCCTTTGAATAAAAGAAAGAAGCTCAGTCTGCGTTGAGTCTCCAAAACCAGACTGATCTCTTCAAAATTGAGATTGCTGTTGTCTGTTCCCTTTTTAGTTTTCAATTCTTAATGAAAGGTAACTAAATAAAGGTAAAAATAACATTTTTTGCAATTTAAGAGTGTCATGCTTTTTTTTTTATGAATAATAATAAGTTTATTGATTCAGAAGCAACTTTAGAGTGAGTTCATACATCATCCCAACGAGAGGCACGAGCTGCAGCCCCTCCTTGAATCTTACAAGTAAACTAGGAAAGAAAAACAAGAATCACAACTGAGCCCAAAATAATTCTTCCCTATTTACCCCTTGCTTAGCTAACACATCTGACAAAGTATTTAAGAGTGTCATGCTTTTGGGTAACTAAATGATAGTAACTAACCATACGGGGAAATGTGTAACACTAGAGAATCCCTTTAAATTTGGTTTAGCCAACTGAATAAATAAGTTTCTTAGATGGCTAACATTTCTTGGGAGGTCATATTATCTTATCTTTTTGAGGGTCCATATATCAAAACAACAAAGTATCTAGTCCCCTTTACATAACTAACACAGTAACACTTTCAATGATTTTTTTTTTCTGTTTTTTGCTACATCAGTGATTTATTGGTTGTAGTTGGCTTTTCCGAGCTTATCATCACTTATTCAGTTACAAACTACCAAGACAAACAAACTTCCTGATGAAAAGAGCAAAGGAAAAAACCCCAAAAAGGAAAGTATATTAGTTAGACTATTGAAACCTAAACAAGAGTATATTCGTTATTCCGAGAAATAGAAACAAAGCTTCTAGATCAGAGTATACCTTTTATGTAAGAATTGTCTTCTGCAGGGATTTTCCAACTAAAAGATGCAAAGAATGCATTGATGTCTGCATTAGGAAATTCTTTCTGGATATACTGTTCTACGGAATGCCTGCTTGCAAAAGTCTGCTTCTTACGTATGCTCTTTTGAAGACAACTTGGAGCATACAGGTATCTATCAAGATAGAAACCAGAAGCAGATTTCCTCCTTCCCACTTTCCATGCCCAATTATCACCAGGACTGGGCCAATCTACAGGAGCATATGGCAAACCTTCACCTGATTCACCAGGTTTAACTGGCCTGAGATGTAGACCATTTGCCTTTAAATCAGCCATGCAACCACTATTTTCATCGTGAATATTGAGCTCCATAGATTCTCTTGTTGGAAGTTGATTGAGGCAGACAAACTGTACCAAGTATGCAACTATTAAGCAAATTAAGTGGATTATATAATGATATCATTAATGCAGTCTTTATGAATATTAACCTGTCATAGTCATAGATAAGATATAGTGATAATACCATTACTTGTACTATGTTATAAGACCAAAGCACCGCATCCTTAGCAAAAGCAGTAGAGACCCAACTCGTTCAAGTAGTAATGATATCAAAGAACTCTAATATATTGTAAGGCAGGGAATTTTGATTATGATTTTCATAATGAGGAAATAACTCAATAAAAAAGAATAAAAATAAGAATACCAAGGAAGAGAAAAATATCAACATCTTTTTCAGGGTAACAAACTCGTTGATGGCATGCCAGGCTGGGATTCATGTGATGCACCTCTCAAGGCACATATGCTGTTCAGACAGTAAACATCTAGGCCCCGTTCGTTTTCTGGTAAGCCCTTTACCTGGGTAAATGCATTTATCCAGGTAAGTGCATTTTGTATCTGGGTAAATGCATTTATTTATGTTCTTTTGTTTCCTAGGTAAGTGTTCTTTCGACCATTTTTACCCTAGAAAGGAATTATTATAAGGGGCATTTTGCCCCATGATGTCTTGTCAACTTTTCCCCCAGGTGGGAAGGTTATTTACCCACTTGGGAGGTGGGTATCACTTACCCGGGTGAATGGTACCCAGGGAAAAGAAGAAATTTAGGTGAATGATACCCAGGTATCAAACTTAACTTTGATGATAGTGGTATGGGAAACACAGGAATATCAGGTATAGATGGAGTATTCAGAGAAGAGGAAGGCAAGATTATTGCTCTCTATTCTGGTCCAGTTGGGGGAAGGAGACTCTTAGAGCAGAAGTTTTAGCCTTGATAAATGGGTATACAAAGGGCGAAAGAACTGAACATTAGAAAACTGATTATTGAGGGAGATCCAAAACTGGTAGTTAGTTACTTAGTTGGATACAAAGTGAAGAGATGAAGATGTGGATTTCCAGCAATGGAAAGAAGAAATTTAGGTGGCTGAGAAGAGAAATGGAAGTTTCTTTCAATTGGATAAAGCATTGGGCTAATTCTGTAGCGGATGCTTTAGCCAAACAAGGGGTGGGAAGAGAAACTTTATTCTGGGCACAATTGTAAATCAGAAACTTGGGTGTGGGGAGAGAGAAGAGATTTTGGGCCCGTTTGGCGCGTCTTTCCGCGCGGTCTTTCAGCTGAGACCAAGCCGGGCAGACCGATTTTTGGTCTATTCCCATTTGGTTCGTGGAAGATCTAGCTGCCAAAAGGCGGAGCGCCGAAAAGACACGAGAAGCCCATTTTGGGCTGGATTTCGGGAAGCTCCAAATGAATCTTTTCGCGTCTTTTGTGTTTTATTCTCGCGCGGAAAGACGTGTATCTGCCAAACTAGCTTCGGGCTGCTCAGATCTTCATGCAAAAGCTCAATGCGTCTTTTGACTGTCAGAGCTACCAGAAGATCTTCCCAAAAAGACTTGCCAAACGGGCCCTTTGTCTCTCATTGTCTTTTTACCATTTACACCTTGTACTTATCTGCTCTGTGCATTCAGCATATACTTTCTAATAAAAGTTTGATGTTATTGATCCAAACTTATAAATAAATAGTGGTCACTAGGCTAGTGGGTCTAAAATCTCTCAATTGGACTGCATCTCCCCTTTTAGGTATCAAGGCCAGAAAAGTGGAGTTAATCCTTAGACTAATGAAATGTTCCTCCGCAAACTCCTCACAAGAAAAAGAAAGAAGCATTAGGCTTTTTGTGAATATTTCCTGAAATAAAGTCACAATAAATGCATGTCATCTCCCTTGAATCATTTCCAAGATTTTAAACCAAAGTTTTAATGGAAAATGTCAACCAGTTAAAAATAATAAATATATAAAAAATATTGCAAACTCTGTTTAGATTTTTTTATCAGTAAAACTCTGTTTACATTTATTGTAAGAATTTTATAACATTGTAAATATTATTACATGAAAATATCTGTTAATATTTTCTGAAATTATAAAAGGATAATAAAGTTGGGCTGTTTGGAAGGAGAAAAATAGAAGAGCTTAAAAACTTTCAGAGGCCTTTAGTGGGTCTTTATGCTGATGTTTGTCATCTGTTAATGGACTGGACTCTTAATTTTTAAGGTCTAGCTGCAGAATAAGGATGAAGGAAGGAAAGTTTCAGAAGTCTGGGAATTGGAGAAGCTCGCTAAGGGCGGAAGCAAAGCAGTTCCTTTTTGAAAGGTTCAGGGTGAGAGGTAAAACATCATAAAAAATCAGAAAATCAACATGGCCATGGTGTTCCTGGTAGGGGAAGAAGTCTTGGGGTGGTTTCAGACTTTCATGGAGGATGCTATTCGGGTGAGCAGAAACTTAGAGTGCAAAGGTTCAACTGAGGTTAATGACAGGAGATATGTAGCAGAAAGAAGAAAGAACTCTAAAGGAAGGTTTATGGTGCTTATGGAATTTTGGGGAAGGAAAAAAGCAGATAGACGCTTCACAGAAGGAAAAATGGGGGCTGGCTGGAAAGAAATATCAAGGACTCTGAAGGATTTCATCACAAGGGAGGAAGCTGGAGCAGGCAGTAGAGGGGAGGTTGTAGAAGAAACACTGGGGGTAGTGAAGGCTCTCTAGTGAGAGAGCAGGAGAAGCCCAAAAAATTTACACAGTTGCAGATTTTGGGTCAAGCAACTAAGGACTGTAGAGTGATCTGCAACAGGCTCAAGAATGATTGGGAGAAGAAGTTCATGACAGTTCCACCGAAAGACTGGAAGAAAATTGCCGAAGAGTTACTAAGGAAGCTAAAGTTGAGGTGTACTATCATCTTCACCCCCATTTGAAAAGTGTAAGGCTATTTTGGAGTTAGTAGGAGAAGAAATGGAGCTCCATGTTATGTGTTGTCAGCTGGAGCCAGTTTCTGTGACTGTTTCAAAATGGACCCCTCATTCCAACTCCAAGGATTTGCATGCGAGAGACAAAGTAGTTGTTAGGATTTTGAGCCTGCCATTTTATCTTTGGATAGGTAAGATTGGAAAGATACTTGTTAAAGATCTCCACTCAGCTGCAGTGTGTCTGAGTAACGTCAACCTGGAAGACATCCCCCGTTCTGTAAAGGTGTTGGTTAATGGAGTTTTTTATTCAGCCTGGCTACATATGCCATTGAAGCTGAGTTGTGGAGGGAGGGAAGAAGGAAAGAAGATGAGAATGTTGAAGAAGACTGGTTATGTGGAAGGATGGGATTGGCTAATTCAAATTTGTCTGAGAGTGTCACCAATAGGGCAAACTTTGTGGAGAAGTAGGGATGCAAAATTGAATTCTGATGGCAGTAGTTTAAGGAATCCAGGGCCTCTGGGATTGGGGGAGTTTTCAAGAATGAGGAAGGGATTGTTATTGCTTTGTCCTCAGGCCCTATTGGAGAAGGTAACTCTCTTAGGGCTGAGATCCTTGCAGCGCTGGAAGGAATTCAAAGAGCAAGGGAACTAAATATCAGCCGTTTGGAAGGTGATTCGAAGGTGGTGGTTAGTTGGTTGAAGAAAGAGGACAATGGATTGTGGAGCTACAACAATGAAAAGAAAAAGTTCTTATGGCTGTGTAGGGACATTGAGATACAATACAGCTGAGTGAAGAGGAATGCCAACTCATTTGCGGATGGGTTGGCCAAGCAAGGGGTGAATAGGGAATCGATCTTTTGGGCTAATTTTTAATTTTCTTTCATTGTATTCTGTTGATGGAGAGCTAAGACATTTTATCTCCCCCTTTTGTATCTAAAGTTTCACAATTTTCATATAATTAATAAAGCTGTTGTTATTGATAAAAAAAAAAGTAGAGATGCAAACAGATCGGATCGGATTCGAATCAGGGTATATTTGAATCCGATCCGATGCTGTTCATGTCAGATCTGATCCGATTGGATCTAATAGGACTCGATCTGACTTGTTTTCTTTAAAATTAATAAATTATTAAAAGAAAAAACAAAATATACCAATTTAAATAAAGAAAAAAAAACAAAAAATACAAGTATTTTTTAATTATTTTCATCATATATATACATGTTTTTATAAAAAAATAAATAATGTAACAAATTTATAAAAAACAATATAAATAATATATTTATAAATAAATAAATAACATATATGTATTATATATTTATAAATATAAATATATAACACATCGATCGGATCTTCTCAGATCGGATAGGGGAGATCTGAAACCGATCGGATCATAGGATCCAATCCGAAGATCCAATCAGGGGTGATCTGAATTCGACCAAATCAGATCGGATCGGATCATGATCCGGTCCATTTGCACCCCTGTGGAGAAGGAAGTAAAAGGGATGTTACCAGCTTCCAAAAGGGAAGAACCAATAGGAGGGAAGGGAAAGGAGGCATGTCATAGATCCTTTTGCTCAGGTCCTGACAGGTGCTGGTTCTGGGCAGTCATTGAGTAGACATCTTTCACCATTTAAGTCGCTAATGAGTCAAGGAAGAGAAGGACTAAAAGTGGGATCAAAAAAGCAAGAGGGCCATGTGGGCACGAGTAGAGAAGGTGTTGGTTTAAATAAACCAAGTGGGCCTCCCTTAAGTCACATGGAGGTTAGTTCGAATGGGCCTAAAAACCAAGACTGTGTAGGCCAAAAAAGGGGAGTGGAGTTGGGTCGAACTTCTTCAATAGGTCAAGAGCCCAAACACTCAAATGACCTTAAAATAACAGATGGGCCAGGCCCAATCATTAATTCAAATGTTGGGTCATGTGACCACTTAAGTGGTCACGTGGGTGCTTTAGAGAGGCAGATGATGGATTTACTCCTGGTCCATCATTGTCCCCAACTCAAAATTCAGCAGGGCATAGTGAGCAGAGGCGAGAGAAATCGCTATAGTGGAGACTAGTGACAATGAAAAACGACAGTTCTCCAAAAAGGCGCAACCCTGGAAATCGGAAAACCATGTTGGTAAAGGGTGGAGTGGAAGAGGAAGATCTGGTGGAAATAAGTGAGGAAGATTCAGGTGCAGATT